TGTAACCAATATTTCACAATTAAATGAAAAAAAAAAATAGATGGGAGAAATACATTAAATGAATAACTTCTATATATATATATATATATATATATGATTTGGTTCAAATGAGAACTAAGTCCTAACGTGAGAACTGTGAGAACCGTTATTTTTAATTGTATGTAGTGCTATGATTGATTGTATTTTAGTACTATTTATAATCAGGATGTATTTTATTGAAAATAGCAAGACAATTGATGTTAGCATTTGTAAAAANATTTACTTATTAATTAATTTACTAATGTGGTCTTTTTATAGGTTATGTTTTTTGTTTTTATTTATTTATTTATTTTCGTTTGGAAGGTGGACGCTTTTCCTTCTTGACTTTAAGGATCTTGTATGTAAGGATTCTATTTTGATCAATTAATATAAGTTCCTTATCCAGTAAAAAGAAAAATAAAAAAATTTAGAACCATATTCATGTACCACAGCATTGAAAAAATTTGACCATACTAATGAATGCTTCATCGAATTTTTATGGTTGGATCATATATTTTGTTAATTTAAACAAAAAAATCTGTTTCAATTGCTCTGCTCTCATCCGTAATTAGATGGAATTTACATAAGCAATAGTATAAATGTGCAACTTGTCCTGATCATGGACCCACACGCCTAAGAAAAGCAGTTTTAACTAAATTGGCAACAATAATAACTATTCAGGCTATAGAGAATTCCACAAAGCAATATGTTGTAGTGGGCTAAAAATTTTTTTAAAAAAAAAGAAAATAATAATAATAATAAATTGAGTCTTGATTAAAATAAGTGCCACCTGCAATATTTTACAACTATCATAGTTAGAAGCAAATGCCAAGATCAATGAACCAATCTTTCAATAATCGATATATGATTAATAATTAGTCGCGCACAACTCGGTATTTTTTTTTTTCCTTCAGAAAAGTTTGAAAAGTTGCATCTAACTACCAGATTATTTTGTTCAACCTTCACGGAATTGAGAGTTTTGCTGCAATCCCAAACATACAGAAGTAACTATATATAATGTTTAATATGTTCAAGTAATTATCTTAAACAGAAGTTAAATATACAACACTGCAGAAATCACAAAATAACCATTTCACTACTAATAAACATACTGGGGAAATATCATTTCTTTTGACTCAAATTAACAATTTGTAATACTTTTTTAATGTAAATTACTACTTTTATGAGCACTTTAAATTTAAAATTCAAGGGTCACGTGAGGTCTGAATCGATTTTGAGATGAATCTTACTATCTTAGTGAATCTTACTCTGTATAATGCACGTAATATGCATGCTGCTCTTATTCTGTAACAACTCATCCCCATGTTACAACTTGCCAATATGCATCATAACTTAGTATGAATCTATTTTATATTTATTATCCTCCAATTAACTCAACAGCCAGCAATATTATTATTATTTTTTTTAACAAATAATAATTAAAAAGTTCATGCATTGCACTCAATGAATTAATAATAATATTATTTAAGATGTAGTACTATTCATATTCATTGTTTTGAAACCTGGACTGGCATGGCGGGACGACCCAGACATTAATTGACCCGGCCAAGTCAACACGGTTTGACCCGCCCATAAAAAATATTTTTTATTTATTTTTCTTTTTTTATGAAATTATGTGTGTATATATGGTAAATATTTATGACAAAATACAATATTATTAAGATTTTTAGGAATAAAATTTATATGTAAATAATTTGTATTATTATTTTATGTATAGTTAATATAAAAATAATATAAATCTAATTTAAAATTTTATAAAAACAATTGTCAAAATAGTAGTAACCCAACGGTTCGACCAATGACCCACTGACCGAAGTCCAATCCAGTCCGGATCAATCACTGCCCCAGGTATAAAACTATGGTATTAGTGTTTAAAAACAAATTATATTAATCATAGAAAAATGAGGAATTTGCACCCTTTACTTTAAGATTCTAATTATATTATAGTTATATACCCATTATATCAATATTTATAATTGTACTAAAATAAGCCTAAAATATTGCCAATATACCTAAAACTTAGACGTTTAAATTAATTGAGATAATTAATTGAAAGTTACTGATTTTACGGGTAAAGATAATCTTCTCTTCCTCTCCGTCTCGCTCTCTCGCTCTCTCTCCCCCCTCTCGCAATTATCTCGCTCTCTCTCCCCCCTCTCACGTTGTCTTCGTCTCTCTCCCCCTCCATTTGGAATGGTTTTGTTGTTTTCTTTGAACTCAATATTCTGGGAATTGAGGCCCCCGAACACTTCCCGCCGCCGTCGTTGCCACTGAGGTTGTCCGCCGAAATTCGCGCGGCCAAGAGCGGCTGCCGCTGGGCGGTTGTTATTAATAA